GGCTGGCCAGGCACCCCAGTGGGGACCCCCACCCTGAAGGGGGTGTGACCAGCTGCAAACAGCCATCATCCCCTCATCCAGGCTGGCCAGGCACCCCAGTGGGGACCCCCACCCTGAAGGGGGTGTGACCAGCTGCAAACAGCCATCATCCCCTCATCCAGGCTGGCCAGGCACCCCAGTGGGGACCCCCACCCTGAAGGGTGTGTGACCAGCTGCAAACAGCCATCATCCCCTCATCCAGGCTGGCCAGGCACCCCAGTGGGGACCCCCACCCTGAAGGGTGTGTGACCAGCTGCAAACAGCCATCATCCCCTCATCCAGGCTGGCCAGGCACCCCAGTGGGGACCCCCACCCTGAAGGGTGTGTGACCAGCTGCAAACAGCCATCATCCCCTCATCCAGGCTGGCCAGGCACCCCAGTGGGGACCCCCACCCTGAAGGGTGTGTGACCAGCTGCAAACAGCCATCATCCCCTCATCCAGGCTGGCCAGGCACCCCAGTGGGGACCCCCACCCTGAAGGGTGTGTGACCAGCTGCAAACAGCCATCATCCCCTCATCCAGGCTGGCCAGGCACCCCAGTGGGGACCCCCACCCTGAAGGGGGTGTGACCAGCTGCAAACAGCCATCATCCCCTCATCCAGGCTGGCCAGGCACCCCAGTGGGGACCCCCACCCTGAAGGGGGTGTGACCAGCTGCAAACAGCCATCATCCCCTCATCCAGGCTGGCCAGGCACCCCAGTGGGGACCCCCACCCTGAAGGGGGTGTGACCAGCTGCAAACAGCCATCATCCCCTCATCCAGGCTGGCCAGGCACCCCAGTGGGGACCCCCACCCTGAAGGGGGTGTGACCAGCTGCAAACAGCCATCATCCCCTCATCCAGGCTGGCCAGGCACCCCAGTGGGGACCCCCACCCTGAAGGGGGTGTGACCAGCTGCAAACAGCCATCATCCCCTCATCCAGGCTGGCCAGGCACCCCAGTGGGGACCCCCACCCTGAAGGGGGTGTGAACAAATTTTTGTGCACCGGGCCTCTACTTTATATTAATAAAAGAGTAATATGCTAATTAGACCAGGAGACCTTCCAGAGACCTTCCGGACATCCTTCCGTACAAACTGCTCCCAAACAACCCTCAGCCCCTCACCCAGGCTGGCCATACCCCCCAGCAGGGAACCCCACCCCAATGGGGGTGTGGCCAGCCTGCAAACCACCCTAGGCCCCTTGCCTAGGCCGGCCCCGCCCTGATCCTGGACCCCCTTCAAGGCAGACCAGCCAGTCAGCTCCCACCTGTGCACCAGGCCTCTATCTATACTAATAAAAGGGTAAAATGCTAATTAGACTGAGAGACCTTCCGGAAGTCTTTCCGGACAAAGCCATGGTGGCGGGGCCAAGGCAGAGGTGGTTAGGGGTGATCAGGCCAGGAGGGGAAGGCAGTTGGGGGTTACCAGGCTGGCAGGAGGGGCAGTTGGGGGTGAGCAGGTTGGTAGGGGGGCAGTTGGGAGTGATCAGGCAGGGAGGGGCAGTTGGGGGCAAGCAGGCCAGCAGCGGGGCAGTTGGGGGCAAGCAGGCCAGTGAGGGGACAGTTGGGGGCAATCAGGCCGGCGGGGAGGGGGGCAGTTGGGAGGGATCAGGCAGGGAGGGGCAGTTGGGGGCAAGCAGGCCAGTGAGGGGACAGTTGGGGGCAATCAGGCCGGCGGGGAGGGGGGCAGTTGGGGGTGAGAAGGTCGGCAGGGGGGGCAGTTAGAGGCGAGTGTTTAGGAGCCAGCAGTCCTGGAATGGAGAGGGATGTCCGACTGCCAGTTTAGGCCCGATCCCTGTGGTGCATGAATTACATGCGCTGGGCCACTAGTTACTACATGAAGCTCTAACTGCATGCTCCAGTCTAGGGAGTTTGTTGCAATCCCCGCTTCTTTCCTGACAACCCCAGAATACTTAGTGCCTGGCCATTCATTAGCTGATACTCATAAACTCTTTGCTGTTGTTGTTAGTTCGTTTTTTTTTTTTTTTTTTTTTTTAAATATATTTTATTGATTTTTTACAGAGAGGAAGGGAGAGAGATAGATAGTTAGAAACATCGATGAGAGAGAAACATCGATCAGCTGCTTCTTGCACATCTCCTACTGGGGATGTGCCCGCAACCAAGGTACATGCCCTTGACCGGAATCGAACCTGGGACCTTTCAGTCTGCAGGCCGACGCTCTATCCAGTGAGCCAAACCGGTTTCGGCGTTAGTTCGTTTTTCAAGCTCTTGAACTTAGGGGACTATGACTTCCATTTCTTGTACTCCATACAGTGTCCTATCACATAGAGCTGTTTAATGGATCAGTTAGTTAATTTGATTCAATCCCAGAAACTAAAAGATATTTGGCAGCTCAAACCAGTAAAGCTTTATTTTAAAAAAAAAATTTTTTTTTATTGATTTCAGAGAGGGAGAGCAAGATAGAAACATCAATGATGAGAGAGAATCATTGTTTGGCTGCTCCCTGCATGTCCCACACTTGGGATCAAGCCCACAACCCAGGCATGTGCCCTAACCAGGAATAGAACTGTGACCTCCTGGCTCATAGGTCGATGCTCAAGCACTGAGCAACACTGGCTAGGCGAAACTCATAAAGCTTTAATAGATTTCTGAGCAACCTTAAAATAAGAAGGATGTTAGTTTGCCCAGGACAGGTTCAGTTTTACCTGGAAGTAAGAGTATATGGACTTAGTAGATATCTCTGGAAGTCCTTTCTAAGTGTGGCTGTATCCTGTGATTTGCTGGGTGGGCAATGCTGAATTGTCTGTGCGTTAGTTGGGACTGATCTTCATCTCAGACACCAGTCTCAGCTTCTACCACAGCCATGTTGAGTCCATCACGCCTTTAAGGGGCATGTGTGACGCCAGTGGCCCAGGTGACATGTAATTAGGAAAGCGTGTCTTTTTACAACCCAAAGTAATAGGAGACATTCCAGATCCAAATAGAATATAGTTGTGGATTATTTCATATTTGTGTTCCTGACATTCTCCTCTTTTGTCTCCACGAAAAAGCTTGATGCTTGGTTGCCCTCTAAGCCACATCTGTTGCTGTCGCCTGTGACACTGGCAATGCATTTTGCTAAAAGGTCAGTAACTTAGTGCAGGTTATTTGTAGGACACCCATTCTGAGTCTTGAGTCTGAGTCCAGGAAGCAGTGGAATATTCCATGTGTCCCCCCGACCTGACTTCTGCTGCCCCCAGGGTCTGTTTCTCCTGTTAGGGCTCGGGAGCTGCCTGGCAGAGGCCGGCTGAGATGGGAGGAATCCTGCCTTTAGCTGTTTCAGTAAAGTGACCCCAGTATTTGAGGAATGATGAGGACGGAATTAAACATGAGTAAAAGGCTTGGAGTGGTTCCCATTTTCCTCCATAGCGGGTGTCCACTGGTGTGACTGTTATTTTTGTGACTATCGCTTTATCTACACTCTGGCCAGCTTTTGGAACACTAACTCTGGGCAACTTAAATGAAAGATTGTTTTCCAGGATGCAGTAAACTGGCAGAAGTTTCCATTGCTCATCAAATTGGGTGCAAATGGTTTGCCTGAGCTAGATATTTGGGTGTGCTTTTGAAATACATGCTGTTGCCCTGCCATTGTGGCTTGTGCGGGGCCAGCAGAGCCAAGGGTTCGGTGAGCCTGAGGGGGGGGGGGGCGGCGATGGATTAAAGAAAAGATAGACAAAGAGAATAAGCTGGGTCTAGGTGGATCTCCTGTGCCTGGCTGAGGCCATAGAGAGAGATCCAGATGGAAAGCTGAGCCTTTATTTTATAGCCAGAGGTAAACAAGGTAGTGGTCACCATAGTTAGAATGTTCTTGTGAGTTTCACTTATTTTGGCAGCACTTGCTGCACCTCCCGCAGCCCATTAGCTTCCCAGATAGGATCTAGGGAGCGTCATAAGGTCAAGCTTAATTATGCTAAGAGGGCTGTGCCCTCTAAGCTGGGACTTGTTTGTGGCTTTGCCAACAGGTCAGTATGAGGCTTAACCCTATAGCTGCTCCCTACAGTAGCTCAGTGGTTGAGCATTGACTTATGAACCAGGAGGTCACGGTTCAATTCCCCGCCAGGGCACATGCCTGGGTTGTGGGCTCGATCCTCAACATCAGACGTGCAGGAGGCAGCCGATCAACGATTCTGTCTCATCGTTGATGTTTCTCTCTCTCTGTGCCTCTCTGAAATCAATAAAAGTATTTTAAAAAGAAAGAAGTGCTGTTGTTCCAAGTAGAAAGTGGTCAAGAAGGGAGTGAGTGGAGACTTCGAGCTTTTACCCTCTATCACTATGTGAAAAGGTAGCCCTCGCTGTTTGGGGAGGAACAGCAGTCAGCTCTGCTTCCCAGCTTTTGCACAGTTCGCTCATTTTTTTCCAACGCGGCTCTGTAATAACAGCCCACTCCTTTCCCTGCACTCCTGGCCCCGCGCGGTATTTGTTATGCTCCTGCTGAAAGGAAAGGTGCCTGTGCACACTGTCTCTCTTCATTTGGCTCCCGGGATTTCCCTTTGATTTGGAAAGAATGATCTTTCAAATTCCGCTATAAAATATACGGGAGAGAGAAAAAAGATGAGGCTCCAGGAAAGAGCACCGGTGTTGACATTTTGTTCAAAGAATGAGCTGAAGGTCACTTTTCGTTCGTGGTGCCCGAGTGGATGATCGAGTGCTGTGAGACTGAATTATCAGCGGTGTTGCTCACTGCTGATTTATACGGCGTGGCTTAGCTTTGTCTTCATCCTTCAAGATAGTAAAACATAGCTAAGAGTCAGCAGGTACCTCCGAGCCCGGCAGCAGCCCCACCGCTCCCTAATTGCTCTCCCTGCTTCTGCCCAGAATATTTATGGTGAGTAGCCAGTTATCTCTTCTTTGGCAGCCGGCCCTGCTTTCCTGTCGTGTGGAATTGCCTGCATTCGCATTTGCAAACAGAGGCTCACTCAAGTGTCACTAAAGGAAGAGGAGGTGGAGCCAAAAGGGCTTTAAAAAGGAAAGAGGAGTCATTCTACTTCTCAACAAGAGAAACTGTACTTGGGGAGGAATCCGATCTCCATATTTCTTCTTTCAGCTTCATCAAGGGTCGTGGTTGGAACCTTCCATCAATTCTTTTCTTTTTCTTTTTTTCTCTCTCTCTCTCTAGCCCTTGCCCGTTGCTCTCTCTGCCTGTCACAGTTAAGTCAGCTGCAGGCCTCCACAGTGTGGCTGGGACACTGTGAAATGTGTCAGAAGGGTGTCAGGTATTTCTTGCTGGCTTCCCAAAAACGGAGATAAAGAAGTCTTTCCCGGGGTGCCCCTTTCAGGCTGCTTTTGGGCACTGTCTTGAGTTGAAGCAGAAGGAGGTGAAGGGCGACAGCAAAAGAGCCGGGGAGAAGATGCCCCGGGGCTGCCGGCCGGCGGGTGAGCACTCCTGGGGCAGAAGCACCTGCCTCGCTATGCTCAGCCAAAGTCAAGTTAGTCTCTATTGACAGTTCAAGCCCATGAAGACCATGCTGCTCTTCCTTGTCACTCTGTTGCCGGTAGTTTTTAGTCTCCCAGCACTCCGTCCCTGGAACTGCCCTGAAGGCTCCCCCTCGGGCAATGGGAACTCCACGTGTGCGGGTAAGTAATTCCACTCAAAGGGATTCGCTTCTTCCTGGGAACTGCCCTCAGCTACGTGTTCATTTCGTCTTGTAAAGTGGGGCTTTTTTTTTCTTTCTGATTTGTCTTTGCGTGTGTACATTTGTTAATTTTTGTTTTTTAACGCTTGCATAGTCTCTTACTGGCTGTTAGAGCTAATCTGCTACCGGCTATACAAACTCCTGGTTCTCAAACTGTTCTTCCACGTGTGTCATTGTAAACTAGCTAAACATTTCTTTTCACGTCTTTATTCTGACATGAGGAATGACTAAACACTGAGTTGATCAGCTTTTTATTGGAAACTGGGGAAAAAGACAGCACTTTTTTGAAACTGACTCTAAGGCATAAGAAATTCTCTAATAACTTTGTGTACCAACTCAGAAGTTGCTTACAAACCAGTGAGGATTGGGAACAAACGTGGTTCTATTATGAAAGCCAAGCTAAGTTTCACCTTACACCTCCTCCCTCCCCTCCCTCCCCACTCCTTCCGTTTCTGAATCTCTGACTGGCTCCAGGTTTTTAGTAACAGGTGCATTGTAACTCTGTGAACTGCTAAGAAATGACAATATGCCGCATACCCCTCCCATAATAAATGGGTTTTTAATCTAAGAGAAGTGGGGTTTTACTGAATGCAAAATAGCAATCCTGCTTAAGGACATTGCCTGAAAAAATCTCTCTCTCTCCCTCTCTCTCTCTCTCTCTCTCTTTCTCTCTCCCCCCCCCCCCCCCCCTTCCCTTTCTCCCTCCCTCCATTTTATTTTGCTCTTGGTTGGGTCTCCAACCTGCTGTTCAAACAAGGCAGCCACTTCCATCCATTATAGAACATGAACTACCCTGACGTTCCCTTCTTGTCATTTTGCCCTTTAGAGAAGGGATCTGGCTCTCAAAAAGAGATAAACTGAGGAAAACATAGTACAGTTTCCAGGAGCGAGGTCTCTGGGAGACAGCACGGAGCAGTGGGAATTGAGAGCACAGTGCGGAGCCAATGCTGCCGCTGGCTGGGCTCCTGCCCTGGCTGCCTCATGAAGGAAGTTACCAGCGAGATCAGGTGCTCTTGCTCTGGCCCTCAGGACTGACTCCAGGCCACACTCATTGTAACAGGGGAGCAGAACCTTAGGGTGTTGGAAGAAATTCTCATGATCTTTGTGACTCCAGCACCCAGAACATTTCCGCTTTCATGTTATGTATTCAGTCAAATCTTGCTGAAGAAATGAGGAGTCTTTCCTTGACCTGCTGATCACAGAGTCCCAGAGAATAAGGACAAAAGGGGGGTGACTAAAGACAAAAATGACCTCACAAGCATGTTGCTCGGTTGTTGAAGGCAGAAGTGAAAGCTTTTGGACACACTTGTGTTGAAAAAACTGGAGCCTCCCTGGGGTGGGTGAATTGTCCCAAGAGTAGTTGGCAAGTGACCAGAATTAGGCACTGCCATTTGCATGGGGCATGTGGAGAGATGGTGGGAGCCGGTCAAGAAGCAGAACTTGAGAGAGGGGGCGGGGGGAATCCCACAGAAATGAACTTTTACACATAGCTTTAGAGTCTCAGGGAGCCACCGATTCCAGCTAGCAAGTGACCTTGTGCTCCTCACCACCCCTGACAGTGGCTCAGAAGTGCCCTCTCAGGTCTGGATGCACCAAATCAACTTGAAGACCAGGACAGAGGCAAGGAGTTCAAGGGACTGTGTCAGGGTGGAGGGAACACAGGTTTTAGAAGCAAATACACCTCATTTCAAATCCATGCCACCTAGTTAATACTTGAGTTATATTGGAATATTGCAGGAAATACCCCACCCCCTTTTCAGGATCTTTGTGCGGATCACATGAGATACCACGTGAAACACACCTAACACAGAGGCCAGCAGACTGTGCTCAATAAATGTCCTCTTGGCTCCCTGTCTTGGCTAAGTCTCTTTGATCAGATCACGCCCTGAGACGCCTCGTTTGGGCAGTGCAGTGACGTGGCACGGACCTCACATGGTGTGGACGCCGTTCTGTGACTCTGCCTCTTTGCTCCCTTGATCCCTCATGTCACTGCTTTAAACCCCCTACTTTACACTCCATGTCTCATGTTAGCTGCTAACTGCCTGGATCACACCCTGTGTCCCCTGCATTTCAGAGGCTAGTATTTCTCCTTTCTAAATAGATATCGTGCCATCATCTCCCTCCTCCCGTCCCCCCCGCCCCCGAATTCTACTTGTCTTATTTCTTGTCCTTGGCATTCAGACAGACCACCCCTGGCCAGCCTGACCCAGCAGAAAGAATGCTTTGTGGTTTGACAAGATTCAGGTAACTTTAGGCAAGACTGTCACTCATGTGACTGCTAGCCACATAAACCAAGTGATAACACTGAATTGGATACTTTTCATTCCTCCCCTCCCCCGCTCCTCCTTTTTTTTTTTTTTAATTGACCGAGTATTCTGTTAGCTTCTATTTGAGCAACAGTAGGTGAGGATAGCAATAAAGAAAACTGCTGGCAAGTGGCTTCTGAACTTTCAAGCTTATTTGCCCTCTAGGAGAAATATCCGTTGAATAAAGGAACTGTTCCTGTTTGCTGTCTGTACCTGCATTATTGAATAAACTTTCCTGGTAAAATAAAGGGTGAAGAAGAAGTACGAAGGATCCTCAGAGGGCTGGCTGCAGGAGGGATCTGGGGCACTCAGCCCACTGGGAGATCCCTTTTAGCAGTAAACAGTGAAATCACTGATTTCAGCACTGGCTAAGGCTTGGTCAGCTTCCCAGTCATGTGCAAACCTGAATAATTTCATGATCAGGATCTTTGTTTTTTCAGCCAGGGTTATGCAAAAGTTTTTTGTTTTTCTTTTTAATCTAACTGCAAAGAAATTCTAGAAATGATCTTTTATGCACAGCACGGAAATGAAACTGTCCCCAAAGTACCCAGTGGTTTATGGTCTTTGAGGGATAATAGAGTTTAGTGGTAAAGAGCTTACATTTTGGAGTCAGACCTGGGTTCAAATCCCAGTTTTGCTGCTTTCGAACCAGGTGTCTCATTTTCTTCACTGCAAAATGAAGATAATTACCCCCTTCTCCTAGGATTGTTGTTGGGATTGTGTTAATGTATTTGCTTTCGATGTTGGCCACACATTAGAGTCACCAATATCCAGGTTACCATCCAGTCCCTCTGTGTTAGAGGCTCTTCTGGGGTGGAATCTAGGCATCCTTTTCTCTGAAACTCTCCCCTGGTGATTCTACTGGGCATGATGGGCAGCCTGGGTTTAAGGCACTAAGTTAATACGTGTAGGGGGCATAAAACAGAGCCTGGTATGTAATAGGCACTCAGTAAGTCTTAGCTCCTATTGGCATTTTTATCAGTGTTAAAATTATTTTTATCGGTGGTAACTGTACCAGTATTTTCTAAATGTGGCTCTGTTTCTTCTATAATAATTGAATTTTTTTTTACCCCTGGAAAGCATCACATTGAAAAATCTGAGATGGTTTTACATGAACAATTATAGGCAAGGTAATTTCAACATTCATAGCTTTTACTTTTGTAGCTAGAAGTAACATTTATTAAAAATACAAAAACATATCAAACTGCTTTGAGCAAGTGCCCTTGTGGTACTGCAGCTCCAATGTTCCTTTCTGTGACACCACCTGATAAAAATTTCACTGACTGAAAATTAAATATGCTTGTTAGATTTCTTACCAGTAACAATTTTATTTGACAACAACAAAACAAGGAACTCAAAAGTGATCATTTAAATTTCATATATATTTTTCCTTATATTTTTATTGATTTCAAAGAGAAAGGGAGAGAAAGAGAAAAATAGAAACATCAATGATGAGAGAGAATTATTGATAGGCTGCCTCCTGCATGCCCCACACTGGGATGGAGCCCACAACCAAGGCATGTGCCCTGACCGGGAATCAAACCTTGACCTCTTGGTTCAGAGGTCGATACTCAACCACTGAGTCACGCTGGCCAGGCCAGGAACCAATTTCTTTAAGATTTTTAAAGCTGCTGGCATTTAAAGAAATGATAAAATAAATCTTTAAGTGAATTTATATTTTGGGGCTAGTTGGGAGTTGTTCAAATATATGACATTCAATTTGGTAGTCGGAAGGTGAGAATTCTCTGCGTTCAGGGGAGAGCAAATGATTGTTTCCCATCAAAAGTAAATGAACTAGTCATTTGGTTCACAATTTGCCTTCATGAAAATCCTTTTGAAATAATTTCTTGTTTAGTGTGAATGTTTTCTGTTTTTTGACATCAGTAGTCTCCACACTCTATTCCATCTGTAAAAAAATTAAAATGTGGGCATATGCTCTCAATTTGTGTGTTTTATCAGTTAGTTACGTGTCATATGTATACTACTACTATGAACATTATACTACACATATTTCTAATATTGTCTTTCCAAACAATAGTGACCTTCTTCCAGTCTGTAAGCGGTACACATCCTACTTGGATGAGACGGTTGTAGAGAAGTAATAACATGATGGAATACATGCTTCATCTTTCTTAGCTCTTAGCTCCCTTCACTTAGGCATGAAGAGATAAGCAAAGGTTTACTTTTTTTCTCCTTTTTCAAGTAAAGGGGAGTTCTTTATAGTGAATGACTTCTCTCAGAGTGTATAATGGAAGAAATAAAAATGACTTTTCTCAGGGTGGATAATGAAAGGCATAAAAATGCACTGAGATTCTTCCATATGGACTAGAAAGAGAGACCATGCCTAAAGATGGGCTGGAGTGTCAGAAATTCCAAAACTCCACGGCCTGCTGGTGTGTCTATATCTTAGGATTTTAAAATAAAAGATAGTCTGTGCCTTCATCCCGTGTTCTGGGGAAACGCAGCGTGTCTCTCCTAAGGCAGTGGGAGTGGTGATGTGGAAGGGAAGGAAGGCTCTTGTGTTCCTGCTGGCCCTTCCCCTGAATTATTGATCAGTGTGCTCACCTCTCTCACGTGCTGTCCCTTCCCCACACCTCATAACCTCACGCCCGACGCCACCCTGTTTTACTTCTCG